AGGGTCGAGAATTTCAGATTGGCAAGACGGAAAGAGCTCTGGAGATCTGTTTCACAACAGTGTGACTTCACATGATTCCATTTACACTTAAAAATGGTTAGAGTGGTACATTTTATGTTTTTTTAAATCACAATAAAAAATAAAGACAGGTATGAGAAAGAGGGACAAAATGAGAATCACAAAAAGCTAAGAAATAAAAATAAAGAAATACAGAAAATCACATAATAGAACCCAACAGTCATCTCAAGGTAAGTGTTAACAGGAGATTGGAGATGGCAAGTTATTAGCTCAAGTTTCAATTTCCTCGGAAAAAATTGGTATAAGTTTAGAACCTTCTTCATAAGGTAGTTATGAAGATTAAATGAGATAACACACATGTAGGTCCCTGCACAACGCCTAGCACATAACAAGGGCTTCACGGATATGCATATTGGGCAAATATTGACACATTGTAAAGAACAAAAGGCATGTCTGACAATATAGCCAGTGTATTTCATCTACACAAAAAACAAAGATTTGTGTGTGTGTATGTAACTACGTGTGTGCAGTGTATCTATCTATCTATCTATCTATCTATCTATCTATCTATCTATCTATCTATCTATCTAGCTGTTGTTGTTGTTTGTTCATTTGTTTGTTTGAGATGGAGTTTTGCTCTTGTTGCCCAGGCTGGAGTGCAATGGCTCCATCTCAGCTCACCACAATCTCCACCTCCTGGTTTCAAGTGATTCTCCTGCCTCAGCCTCCCAAGTAGCTGGAATTTACAGGCATGCACCACCATGCCCGGCTAATTTTGTATTTTTAGTAGAGACGGGGTTTCTCCATGTTAGTCAGGCAGGTCTCCAACTCCCGACCTCAGGTAATCCGTCCACCTTGGCCTCCCAAAGTGCTGGGATTAGAGGCGTGAGCCACCGTGCCCAGTCGTGTAAATATATTTAACAAGAAGATGGGGGAAATGTACCTCAAACGTTTTTATTTTTTCAGAGACAGGGTCTCACTCTGTAGCCCAGGCTGGAGTGCAATGGTGTGATCATGGCTCACCACAGCCTTGAACTCCTTTCAGCCATCCTCCCACCAGAGCCTCCCTTGTAGCTGGGACTACGGATACACACCACCACGCCTAGCTAGTTTTTAAATTTTTTTATATTTTTGTAGAGATGGGGTCTCTCACCACATTGCCCAGGCTGGTCTTGAATTCTTGGCCTCAAGTTTCTCATCTCAGCCTCCCAAAGTGCTGAGATTACGGGCATGAACCACAGCATCCATCCCATACCTCAAACTTTTATCAGTAGTTTTCCCGAAGAAGTATTTTGGGATTTGGGTTGTGCAAATAAAAGGTTCCACTTATTATTATAGCTAAAAATTTAAAAGTTTGATTTTTTTTTTTTCTTTTGAGACAGAGTTTCCCTCTGTCGCTCAGGCTGGAGTGCAGTGGCATGATCTCGGCTCACTGCAACCTCTGTTTCCCAGGTTCAAACAATTCTCTGCCTCAGGCTCCCAAGTAGCTGGGATTACAGATGCCCACCACCACGTCCCGCTAATTTTTGTATTTTTTAGTAGAGAGGGGGGGGTTTCACCATGTTGGCCAGGCTGGTCTTGAACTCCTGACCTCATGATCCACCTGCCTCGGCCTCCCAAAGTGCTGGGATTACAGGCGTGAGCCACTGTGCTGGGTCAAAATGATTTGATTTTTAATATCAAGTATATTTTATGTTTTTACTTGAGTAGGTAAAAAAGTGATTGACTATGTATACTTATTGTATCTTGACTGTATACCCAAGTCAGAGTTAAGCATACAACTTGGCATAAATCATATCTGCTTTCAAACTTCTTAAAATCACATTGAGAAGACGGGACATTTACTTAAGAAGATAAATAACAGCATAAAGTAGGCAGGCTCTACCTTAAGATACAGACCAGAAGCCCTTACATTTCACTGCAGGAAGCCATCACTCATGGGTGTGGAAACTGGCAAAGACCTTAAGGAGAAGAAAGAGCTGAAGTCTGGTCAGTAAGCAAGGACATAACTAGGAAGAGTAGAAGTTGACATTCCAAGGAGATGGAGGGTGAAAACAAGGAAAACTGGAGGTGGGAATGTTCAAGACTCGCTAGAGGAACATATATACAGACTCGGTAGAGGGACAGGCTAGGCAGCCAGTGCTGAAAATGCTGAGGCCAGGCTGCGGGTGCATGGTGTGCTAGGAAGAGAGTGTGACTTTTGCTACTAGACCCTGGGAACTAGCTGCTAGACCCCAGGGAGCCCTGCAGGCAGCAACATATGCAAATCAGTACTTTAGGAAGATGAGCCTGGCAGTGGCTTAGAGAAAACACTGAAAGGTGGAGAGACTGGAGGAAGAGTTAGGTGAGGAAGGAGTCACGGGATCCTTGGGGTGTTGCTTTGCCAGCTGGAAACCTTTGTGGCTCGCGATGCCTTCTGCCTGAGTATTGCTCGCAGCCTCTGGGCTTATTCCGCCCACGCAGCCCAGCAGGCTGGCTCAGCTTGCACTATGGGCCCAGATCCCACACCTGCCAAAGGCAAACCAGGCACAGAGCCAGGAGGGTTGCGTGGGTTAGTGACCAAGGGTCTGACCACTGTGTGCAGCCAGGCACGCTCACTGCTGCAGCAGGGTGCGCAGCTCCAGGCACTGGCACGGGGGCCAGCTCAGGGTGAGGCTACAGCTGGGCTAGATATACCACATGCTGCTTCCGCTGCAGGCACCCGTGTCTGGATGAGGGGAACACGGTGGCCTGGCAGCTTGGAGACGCCAGGAACCACAGAGCCCCAAAGAGGCTGTCACAGCCCTGGCTTGGGGAGCCCCTAGGTCTGGGTCCCCTGGAGGACCACATGTCTTCTCCCCTTGTCACCAGGTTGGTACAGTTCTTTCAGTCCCACCTTTCAGTGGGTCTGAAGTTCTTGTCCACTGTCCAGGAAGAATGAGGCACTCAGACACGTGGAGGATGAACAAGGCAGAGAGGAGCTTCACTGAGCAACAGAACAGCTCTCAGGAGACCCGAAGTGGGTAGCTCCTTTCCACAGGCAAGTTGTCCTGAGGTCTCTGCAAGTCTGGCTGAGTTGTGGGGGGCGGGGAGGAGGGTGCAGGAAGTGGAGAGGTTAATGGGCTTCAGAAAGGAGGAAGTACATGCTGATTGTTGTTGGATGGGCCAGCGGAAAAAGCACCAGAATTTCTCACTCCCTGCTGGGGACTCCCCCTGGGACTGACAGCTTGGCCCCCATGCTTCAGGCAGTCCCTGGCTTGAAGGTGGGGCTTCACTGAGGACCTGACCCCTTCTGCCCAGGAGCCTATCTGCCTCCTGCTACCATCAATTATATCATCCACGGTGCCCAGGCTGTTCCTGCTGAGGGGCACCTGCAGGCCCATGCCCAGCGGCCCTCAGCCCCAGCTTGGCCTCCCTCCTGTGCTGGTCGGTGTCCAAAGTCCACAGGGGGCCAAGACAGCAGGGAGCTGGCATGTCAGCGCTACCCTAAGTGCACACCTGGCAGGGTGGCGACAGCGCATGGGGCTCAGCCTCAACTTTGCTGCAAAATCTGAGTGCCACCAGGAGTGGGAAGAGGCCAGGCAGCAAGGGCAGACACTTGTGAGCAGTGGGGGCAGGAAGGGCTTCCCCAGCCGGGAGCGCAGGGATGCCTGAGTCTGCAGCCACCACTAGTCTGGTGGCAGCTGCTCCCAGGAGGGTGGGGCTCCCGCTCTGCCATCTCAAAAGAGGGTGGGGCTCCCGCCAGCTCCATGGAGCGCACAGCCCCTGTGGCTCCCACACCGCAGCCAGCATCTTTGCAGTGGCCATTCCAGATAGGCCACTGCTGCCATTAAAAGGACTGGTAATCTAAGGGAGTTTATGGTGACCTAGTACTAGGTAAAGGATTAAAACCATAAAGGAAAGCACAGATGATGCTATTAGGTCACACTTAGGTGCCAGGCATTGAGCTACATGATGTATATGTTTATGATCTGTATTTCTATATTTCTAAGCTACATGTGTTATATATTTAATTCATCTAATTCTTCCAGCAACTCTATAAAAGAGATGTCATTAGTGGTCCCATTTTCCAGAAAAGGAAACTGAGGCTAGAGAAGTTGAGTTACTTGCCCCTGGTGACACAGCTAAGACCAGGTGAAAAGAGAATTCAAACCTGGGCTGACCGGTTCCAGAGCCCTTGTCCTCACCACTACACGCAACAGGTGGTCGAGGAGAAAGAAGAGGCAGAATTTGGTGGCACCTGTCGTGTAAGCGGAGGTGGGCGGGGTGGGGTGGGCACAAGCCAAGTTCATAAACCTACAGGATGGAGGGTGCTAAGCTTCAAAGGACAAAGGGGGCTGGTCGCCGTGGCTCACAGCTGTAATCCCAGCACTTTAGGAGGCTGAGGCAAGAGGACTGTTTGAGGCCAAGAATTTGTGACCAGCCTGTGCAACATAGCAAGACACTATCTCTACAGAAAACTTTTAAAATTAGCTCGGCGTGGTGGCATGTGCTTGCAGTCCCAGCCACTCAGGAGGCTGAGGTGGGAGGATCGCTTGAGGCCCCGAGTTTCAGGCTGCAGTGAGCTGTGATCTCATCACTCCACTCCAGCCTGGGGGACAGGGTGAGACCCTGTCACTAAAACATCAAACAAACAAACAAATAAAAATAAAACAAGGGGAACTGTGGGGACAAGAGTAACTTTATTGAAAATACTAATCCTCCATGTTACTTCTGACTGGCCCTGAGTCTGGGAAGGCCGCCAAAGTGTGCAGGTGATGTATGACTCTTTATGCTAGAACGCCTATTCATTATAAACTTCCCCCCATACAACTCTTGTTGCTGCAGAAATCTTAGGCTGTGACCACCATAGCCGCCTACACATCCTTCATATCTTGGGGTAAATGCACACGTGCTCTGGAAGGAATGTGTAGGTAGCTATGGGTGCACAATTTCAGGGGGTTCATGAACCCCAGTTAAGACCTGCCCTAATTATACCATGTAAATAATTCAATAACGGGCAATTCTGTAGTAGAAATTTTATTCCCATCCATAAAATATATCACTAAATAGCTGAAAAAGTTACATATTATTTTAAAACATAGATTTAAAAAATCATATTAGCTTCTCCTTAGCAAAATGCTTTTGTTTTATGTATATTTACAAGAATATACTGTACTTCAGGTACACAATTCACTCAAGCCAGCCTGAGAAGGCCTTGGATGCAGGTTGATGCTCCAATAAAGTTCATTATCAGCTCCTTCTGCCTTGTGACAGGATGATTTGATTTTACAAAAGTCCCTTTGAAAACAAGAGTAAATGCAGACAGCTTCTAGAGAAAAGTCCGGCGAAGCAGCAGTTGATAATAGATTTTTTTTAGTGACGAAATTAATCTTGTTTTGGTAATCTACAGCCTGTTAGGGATAGGTGGAGGGATGAAGTCCTCAAAACTAAATTGTTCCTCTATGAATCTTCGACCTGAGCCTGTGGAGAGAGTGGCCCTGAATCCATCTCTCTGCTGAAAGGTCGCCTGTTTTGGTAGATGTGAGGACGTTCCGAAACACGGCCATCCACATTCTGATACATCTGAATGTGGGAAAGAGACAGAACACCGATTACATCTGATGTAGATGTACATGTTATGTGCCCATATTACAAATTCTTTAAATAAAAACAATTGTTCTATATAGACAATTACTTTTTTGTTTTTTTGTTTGTTTATTTTTTGAGACAGAGTCTCGCTCTGTTGCCTAGACTGGAGTGCAGTGGCACAACCATAGCTCACCGTGGCCTTGATGTTCTGGGTTTGAGCAATCCTCCCAACTTAACCTCCTGAGTAGCTGGGACCACAGGCAGGCTCCACCATATCCTGCTAATTTTTTTATTTTTTTGTAAAGACGAGGTCTCACTATGTTGCCCAGGCTGGTCTCAAACTCCTGGGCTCAAGTGATCCCCCACCACGCCGCCCTCCCAAAGTGCTGCGATTACAGGTGTGAGCGACTACACCTGGCCTAGACATCACTTTCAAAATGTTTAAACTGATGTATAATAGATGTACATGTTTTCAGGAAACGTGTAGACAGGTACTTTTATTATGCGTAGGTCTCAGAGGGTATTCTATAGAACTAAAAAAGCAATTTTGGTCCTTTTATTAATGGAGAAATCAAGTCATAGTCAAATATTTTATTTCATTATTGAGTCTACTCTTAGATATAAAATGTCACTCTAGAAATCCTAAAACCATGCAGAAAAATCATAAAAGAGAAAGGCCACAAAAAGAAATCTGTTCATTATGGAGTTAATACAAGGGACTGATTCTTGAGTTTTCCCTTGGGAGTTTCACGACTTTTAACTTTTTTTTCTGAAATGAAGAGATTTACTTTCCTTTCCCAAATATGAAGTTAACATGCATTCACATAGATAATTTGAGAAAAAAAGAAAGGGGTATAGAAGGCTGGGCGCAGTGGCTCACGCCTGTAATCCCAACACTTTGGGATGCTGAGGTGGGCGGATCACCTGAGGTTGGGAGTTCGGGACCAGCCTGGCCAACAGGGAGAAACCCTGTTTCTACTAAAAATACAAAACTAACCGGATGTGGCGGCACACGCCTGCAGTCCCAGCTACTCGGGAGGCTAAGGCAGGAGAATTGCTTGAACCTGGGAGGTGGAGGCTGCAGTGAGCCTAGATTGTGCCACTGCACTCCAGCCTGGGTGACAGAGCAAGACTCCATCTCAAAAAAAAAAAAAAAAAGAAAAAGAAAAAAGGCTACAAGTCATGACAAGTACCCACCATTATAGACAGCTTGCTATGCACATACAATTTTGTGTCTGTGGGCTCAGGTTGTATATTCTCTTTTAGAACCTTATTTTTGAATTATCAATATATTGTTATTATACTGCTCATATGTTGCCTGTGTCCCATATTTACATTATTCACTAAGGATGGCCACATATTTTTTTTTCATGGCAGCTTAGAGTCCCATAGTACTGATGTGTCATAATTAACCTTTTGACCCACTGGTTATACAAAACAAACTGAAAAGTGCACACTCGATGTAATCTGATGTTGGGATAGGCAGAAGTGGAATTGCTGGATCAAAAAAGATGCACACTTGAACTGTGATACACAAGGCCAGGCTGCCCTGCAGAAAGGTTGTATTTATTTCTACTCCTATCAACAGTGCCTCTACATTTTCCAGAGCCTTCTGATCAATGGGTATGTCAGCCTCTCACATCTCTTCTCTTTCGCTGAGCGAGACGTTCTATCTCCTTAACTATATATGTTTCACTCTCTGCAAAGTTGGACCTTTTTCCTATACTTTATGTTCATTTGATTTTAATTTTGAATAGCCTGCCTATTTCCTTTGCCTTTTATATACATAGAAGGCTATACAGGCTGGGCACAGTGGCTCACCTCTGCAATCCTAGCACTTTGGGAGGCCAGGGCGGGAGGATTGCTTGAGGCCAAGAGTTCAAGACCAACCTGGCCAACATAGCAAGACCCTGTCTCTAAAAGAAAGAACTTTTTAAAAGGTGATATATTTTTATTATTGTTTATAAGAACTTTATGATTTAAGAATCATGCATTCTATTTAAATTTTATAGATTTGCTCCCTTCCCACAGCCCTTGTTACTGTCTACTTCTTTATCTTTGTTTTTTGACAGTTTTAGTGTGAACTGTCCAGACTGCCTCCTACACTTCACTTTTCTTTCTAGAAAATTATGTGTGTGGGGTGTGTGTGTGTGTGTGTGTGTGTGTGTATCCTTTGACCCAAAATATATCCATTGTGAACCAGGGGTTGCACAATGACAGCTTTGCTTGTACCCTGAAGGATGACCAGTAACTACTCATGCATGCCTTTTGTGAAGTAGACATAGCAGTTAGTTAGCATTTTTTGAACCTGTTGAATCCAAATGTACATCTCTGCCACTGAATTTCTAACCATCTCATGAAGGTTGTGTAGCACAAATACCAATAACACTTCCAATCTTCCACCTGAATTAACTAACATATGCTCTTCATCCAGTCTCACCGTCTAGAAGTTTCTAGAACCATCTCTGATACCTCAATCTCGCTCTACTCCCATAGCTAGTTAATGGGTATAGTTGTAATATATCACTCTTTTCCATTGCTTTAAGTGACCTTTCGTTCCTTTTGTTGTTGTTGTTGTTGTTGTTGTTGTTGTTGTTACTGCTGTGACAGAGTCTCACTCTGTCACCCAGGCTGGAGTGTTGCGGCATGATCTCAGCTCACAGCACCCTCTGCCTCTCGGGTTCAAGCGATTCTTGTGCTTCAAGTAGCTGGACCTACAGGTGTGCACCACCACATCTAGCTAATTTTTATGTATTTTTGGTAGAGACAGGGTTTCACCATGTTGACCAGGCTGGTCTTGCACTCCTGGCCTCAAGAGATCCACCCCTCTAGGCCTCCCAAAATGCTGGGATTACATGTGTGAGCTACCACACCCAGTCACTGTTGTTTTTAACAAGCCCACAGATAACATCATAAAAGTGACCTTTAAATGACTTTTTAAATACAATCTCCTTATGAAATCGTGAAACAAACCCTAGGTTTTCAAATGTTTCATTATAAAGAGGTACATACATTTTCTTATACTTTAAAAAATGGTTCTTTTTTCCTTAGCTATCTTCTCCTTTTCATCTGAATGTTATTTATTTGTGCTTTTTTCTTTTTCGAGACAGGGTCTCGCTTTGTCACTCAGGCTGGAGTACAGGGGTGCAGTCATGGCTCACTGCAGCCTCAGCCTCCTAGGCAGAAGTGATTCTCTTGCCTCAGCCTCCTGAGTAACTGGGACTATGGTGTGCGCCACTACACCTGGTTAATTTTAAAATTTTTGGTAGAGATGGGGTCCCATTATGTTGCCCAGTCTGGTCTCAAACCTCTGAGTCCAAGCGATCCTCCTGCCTTGGCCTCCCAATGTGCTGGGATTACAGGCGTGAGCCACCATACCCGGCTTCTTTTTTTCTTAATTGTTCACCTCAAAGATAGCAGCTTTAGTAGTATGTTTGTATACTTTGTTGATATGCAACATTAATATACAGCATAGACTACACTCAGACTGCTGTATTCAAATCCTAAGTCTGACATTTACCATGTTACCTTAGGCAAATTACTTAACCTCTCTGGGCCTCAATTTACTAGTCTGCTAAAGGGGTAATAATAGAACCTACTTCAGGTTATTCATGTGAGGATTAACAGTTATTAATTTTATGGCTAATACATTAGTAAACTGTATGATTAAATACTCAAAAAATGTTAGCAATTACATTATTAGTTCAAAGAAACAACTTGTGGTTGTCCTGACCACCGCTATTATTTTGTTGTTTCTACTTCCTCTGTTTCATTAAATCTGGCTATGTCTCTATTAATTCCTTCTTTCTGCTTTGTTCATTCTCCTCCTCTCTCTCTCCACCTTCTTCTTTGTTGTTGTTTGTTTTTTCCCCTAGCTTCTTAAATTGAAAGGCTAATCAGACTAGGTGTGGTGGCTCACACCAGTAGTCCCAGCACTTTGGGAGGCTGAGGCAGGAGGATTGCTTGAGGCCAGCAGTTTGAGACTAGCCTGCACAGCATAGCAAGATCCCCATCTCTGCAAAAGAGAATTTTTAAAAAGCTACTCAGGAAGCTGAGGCGGGAGGATCGCTTGATTCCAGGAGTTTGAGGCTGCAGTGAGTTATATAATCATGTCACTGCATTCCAGTCAGGGAGACACAGCAAGAACCGGTCTCCAAAAAAAAAAAAAAACCCGAAAAAAAGTTAGCTATTGATTTTCATTTTTCTTTGTTTTCTAATAAATGAATTTAGAATTACGAATTTGGGTAACTCTTACAGGTTTTAATAGGCAATATCCATTTTTACTCCTTTTCGCTATTTCCCCTTCTTCTTCTTAAGCAAAGCTTCCTTAAGAAGCATGATTTTTATTTTATTTATTTTTTGAGACAGAGTTTCATACTTGTCACCCAGGCTGGAGTGCAATGGTGCAGTCTAGGCTCACTGCAACCTCTATCACCTGGTTTTAAGCAATTCTCATGCCTCAGCCTCCCAAGTAGCTGGGATTATAGCTGCCTGCCACCACGCCCAACTAATTTTTGTCTTCTTAGTAGAGACGGGGTGTCACCAGGTTGGCCAGGCTGGTCTTGAACTCCTGACCTCAGGTGATCCACCTGCCTTGGCCTCCCAAAGTGCTAGGATTACAGGCGTGAACTACCACATCCAGCTGATTTTTAATTTTGGTATATAAATTTGGGGACTTTTTTGGTTGGGTGACTTTTTATTACATTGCATCGAGATTAGTGAATGTGGCATTCACTAACAATGTATGATAACAATTTTATTTATTCTGAGATTCTCTTTCCTAAGTAGGCTTACTGATTGTTGCCATTTTGTGTTTTATTTTTGTATTTTCAATTTTTATTTATTTATTTATTTTATTCTTTAGATATGGGGTCTCTCTCCTTTGCCTACAACTGGAGTGCAGCAGCCCAGTTATAGCTCACTGCAGCCTTGACTTCCTCGGATCAGGGGATCCTCCCAGTTCAGCCTCCTGAGTAGATAGAACTACAAGTGTG